AAAATCAGATAACTCTCTGGAAACCATAAAGTGGCAATCTTCCAATTCACTGTTTCTGCTTTTTTTTTTTTTTCCTGATGTCTCCTTCCTTGGGTAGAAAAATAACAGGACATTTTAACATAAGTTTTGCCAAATATTCAAAAAGTGTATTTAAAAAAAAAATGTTCCCAACTCTTGGTTTTAGGGTCAAATTTTCTTTCCAGTGCCTTATGCAGATAATTCTCTTCACAGAAGGCAGATTTCCTGTTCAAATTCTGCTTCCGGGAATCCTACACATAAACATTCTAGAACATGTTCATTTAAGGAATATTGCAATAATTGGGCATATTTCATTAAAAGAAGCACACCAAGCAGGAGAGACCGCAGGAGAGTGGTTTTTATTAAAGCTCTTTTGCTGCTTAGGGAACGTTGTCTGGGCTTCCCAACCTCTGCCTCCCAGTGCTCTAAGTGCAGAAACACCTGGCATCCCAGGCACTTCCGGCTTGGCCTGTTCTGGGAAGTGTGAGGGGTTAGTTGCCGGGAAAGGGGAGGACAGGGAGGGGTTGTCTGGCCTGCTGTGCAGCCAGAGTTCCTAAGAGTTCCTAATCAGGAAGCACTGAGACATGTTCCGCATTGAATGGGCCCTCACTGCGAGGGTGAGAATGACAATTTTGGTGGCTACAACAGCAAACCCTAAAGTGTGGTGTACTGCAGATCCAGAAGAGCCACAAATATCAAGCAGTTCACTTATTTCCTTACCCATTCCTATTGATTTGGGATGACAGGGACTATAAAATCAGGCAAGGTTGCAGCCTAAGACTTTCTCTTGTTTTTGTATTTCTTTCCCAAGTTTTCTAATAGAACTTTGTGAATTTTAAAACAATTATAATACAAAGGGACTTCACTTTTTAAAATATTCTGTGGTTTGGATGATTCTTCTCTCAAAATCCTATTTTAGAAATACAAATATTTTCTGTGCCTCAGCATTTATTTCATAAACTTAAATTGTGTGAAAGAGTCTGGGAGTAAAGAGCATTTAAATTGACATTTAAGCAAAAGTCAGCACTTTTGTGTCTCAGTGCCTAAGACACAATAGATGTTCAACCAATAATTCTCAAACAAATGGATCATGAGAGAATGACTCTATGTCCAGAATTAATAAAATTAATCACAGGGGGTACACTGAGATTTTCAGAGGTTCACGGTGCCTTTTATTAACCCAAAAGAAGGCCATCTTGAAGAAAAGAAGTGAAAAATAGGTAATAGGGATCATTGTGGGGATAACTAAGGAGCAATCTTGGATTCTTACTGCTTAGTGACTTGGATTTCATTTTCCAGAATTCTCTCCTACACAAACTAAAATGAGATTTGCCTCTAACTTTCTGGATCTACTGGGAGAAAGTTTCTCGGAATAAAACTGATTCTGATCCAAGGCAAGAGCTGACTGGGTCGAGACTGTGAGAGACAGCAGAGGTGAGGGAAAAGGGTTAAGGAGGTGTCCAAGAATCTCAAAATTGTTCAAGACCTAGCCTTAATGATTTTATCCGCAGGCATAGTTGCCATGAGTGATAAGGCTGCATTTTATCTTTATGGGAATCCCTAAAGGGAGGGAGGGGAATGGCTACCTCAAGAATGATTGAGATTATTAAGTTCTATCTTTTAATATATCAGAGTGTGTTAGTTTTCTGTGACAAAATACCTGAGATAATCAACTTACTACAAAGGGGCTTCAGAAGGTTCAGTCCATGGGTCAGTTGGTCTGTTGCTTTGGGGACTGTGGCAAAGCAGCACCTGATGGCAGGGTGTGCATGGTGCAGCAAAGCTGCTCACCTCACAGCAGCTAGGAAGGGAAGAGAAAAACGGGAAGGAGCCAAAGTCCCAATATCCCCTCAAGGGCACACCTCCAGTGACCCAACTTCCTTCGACCAGGCCTCACTTCCTGAAGTACCACCACCTCCCAGTAGGCCCGCAGGCTGACAAGCAAGCTTTCAGCACACAGGCCTTTGGGGGATATTCCGGATCCATGCTATGGCACTGACTGTGGTGGAAAGGTTGTTCTAAAACCCACATCCAGTAAAATGCCTTTCATGCTATCTTTGGGTCCTAAGTAGCTGTACCTAAAGACAGGGATGAAACCCAAAGACAAGGGATGCAACACAGTGCAAATGTGGGGCAATGGAATGTGGTGATCATGAACCACTAATCACACACCTATGCATATACAACTATACATGCAATTGTGATATGTATGATTCACGCTTAGCCATGTCCTACTATATTACCTGGAAATGAAAAGAAGAAAAAATCTTAAAGAAGGTCAAAGAAAAGAGACAATCACCTTCAAAGTAACCTCAAAGCGACAGCAATAAGGGTCACAGCTGACCTCTCGGCACAAATACCAGATTGCAGAAGACAAATCATTATGTCTTTCAGACTCTGAAAGAAAATAAGCAACTTAGAATTCTATCACCAGCAAAAACAAAAGTTGCACACCAAAGTTGAAATAAATAAATAAATAAATAAATAAAAATAAATAATATATATATATATATATTAAACAACCAAACAGAAAATTTGTCATTTAACAGAGCTAATTCATAATAAGAGAAATGCTGAAAGTTGCTCTCCAAGCAGTGGGGGGAAAAAACCCAAGTAGAATCTCAAAAAAACAGGAAGGAGTGAAAAGAAGCTAAAATGTAAATATGTTCATAAATGAACAAAATAAGCTAGTGCAATAACAATAATGTCTTTTAAGATTTAGAAATAAAGAACAAGATAATCACCTGTAAGATTAAGGAATAGAATTAGAAGAAAATAAACTGTATTTGAATTTCCTAATATCCAAAAGGAGAGTGAAATTGCCACTTTATATTAGATTCTGAAAATATATATATTATATAATGCATGCCAGTAATCCATAAGGAAATAATTAAAGCTTGTGTAACTTCTCAGACAAAAAGGTATAGGAAAGAAGAATGATGTAAAGTACTCATCCAATTCAAAAACAGTCCAGAAATGAAGAAAACTGGAATTTGAAACAGGCAGAACCAATGGAAAAATGCATAATTCAATATATTAGTAATTGAATTACATCCCTCAAGAGAAGGGAACATTCTTAATTTACTTTTCTCTTTTTGGAGATTTTCCCAGTTCCTATCATACATGATGATCTAAGAACATTTGTTAATTATTGAAAAAAAAAACCAGTGGCGATTTTGTCCTTTTGTGTGTTACTAGGTGGATAACGAACAACTGAAGTTAGAAGGCGAAGAGATTGAAAGCATGGACGCCACCAAATTAAGCCGCTTCATTATGATCCACAGCCTCCACTTGGTGACAGAGTACAACCCCATGGTAAACAGTAGTCCCTGGGACCAGCCCCAGAAATCCATATATCAGGGAGGGTACTTATCTTTGTAGCAGAGATCCTCTCCTCCTAGACGCTGGTCCTCTGATCAATAATGATAGTAACTGCCTTAATCGAAACTAGTATGCTGTTTCCATTACCTTTCTTGCAACCCTTCAAGATTGTTGAACTTTTAGCTAATTCAACAAAGAAATAGGAAGTTCAATGACATCACACAACAAGAAACAGGATCAAAATGCAAAGTGAGGGGGACTGATTCTTAATTTGCTCCCTGGAATTTCTCAGTAAAAGCCACTATGCCCTGAGCAGCTCTCTAGACCACTTCTCAAACTAGATTGCAATGAATATTAAAGGTCCATTGCCCCCCCCAAAGCATCAGTGACCAATACTTTTACAAAATATAATAAAAGTAAATTACTACACAAATGAAATTTTTAAAAACTGAAACCCACTGATCACATATTTCTATGTCATAGCTTTGTGCATTTTCTATAAAAGTTTCCAAACATCTATTCTTGTTTTCTGAGTGTATCACCTCTGGGACCAGTAACACCATGTGCAAGCCACTCTTTGACCAGAGGGCAACTAAACCTTGTGGTGCCTCCAGGTCTGTCTCCCTCTGCTGTTACACACTGTGGGTGACACGCAGGAAGGTGTCCACTTGTCCAAATTGTCTCTGGATTTCTAATTCTCTACAACTTATACAATTAACTTATAATCCTGCCTTTACTATCCTGGACATAATCATAGACAGATAGCATATTAATTTCTAGTGAAGCTCAGCAACCCTCTGTATCCACTGATAAAAGTACTGAACATGCGTGGTACTCCTTTTCAGAATTTACAAAGCCTTTCCATATTCATTTCTCATTTAACCCTCACACTAGTGTGTTTTAGATTGAAGAGAGGAAATTATTATGCCCATTTTAAGGAAAACATTCAAGGTCCCAGTGACATTATCCAAGGTGACACATTGAGGAAACAGAAAAGGCATAGTTTAAAACACAACATTAGGCTGATGACACATTAGCCTATCTTGTCTATTTCCATTTCACAGTAGAGGAAATGGAAGTTCAGAAAAGCTCAGCAACTTCCCCAAGGCCACACGGCTAACAGTTTGAGCTTCAGAGATAGTCTCTGCACTTTCTCCTGCTTGCTCTGGATTTTTTTATTCTTCACACAACTTTGAACTGAATAAAAAAAACACACCTTTTCCTGTTCACTCAATTCCTATTCATTTCTTTCACCATTTTTTTATCTCCACGGAGTGGCAGCATCATTTCCACTTTGACCAGATCTCTCTCTCTCTCTCTCTCTCTCTCTCTCTCTCTCTCTCTCTCTCACACACACACACACACACACACACACACACACACACACACACACACACACACATGCCCCCCCATGCTGGCAGCAATAATTAATAGACCATTGTCATTCTGGTCACTGTGTCTCCTGAGCAGTCCAGAGCGCAGTGAAAAGATTGCAGCAATAATTAATAGACCATTGTCATTCTGGTCACTGTGTCTCCTGAGCAGTCCAGAGTGCAGTGAAAAGATTTTATTGTCCCTGGGTAACTGGTCCTCATGTATCCGGATTCTGCAGGCCACTGAGAAAGGGCAAGGACCTTCCTGAGCTCTTTGGCTTGCTGTCATCTTACACAACAATGATGTATCTCTTTAAAGTTTCACATTATTAGTGATGGTAAATCACATCAAGGGGCAATTTGGTAATGATTTCTTTAGAGAAGTAAGTTTAACTTTTATTGTAAATTTAACTTCTCAGGAGTGATAGTTGTCTCATTTGGACAGTGGCCCATTCTGCTACTGCTGTTTCTCATCTGATGCTGATACAGAGGTTTGCAGAAAATCACAACTATGCACTTGGCCTGCCACAAACTTTCAGTGTACACACTCAAGACTTGGTTTCAAGATGAAAAATCAGGCGGTATCTATCAGGATTAAACTAATCTGCTATTTCATCTCTTCTGCTAAGGCAACTCTGCTAAGGCACCTCTTGACCTCTTAGCTCTTATTTCTTGACTCATCCTAAGAATTATGCTCCATCTCTGTTTTAGGAGCTTAGATGTGTACTCTAAGTAATAGGATCTAGTACCACACAAGTCAATCCTTTATCATCTAGTGTCCAAAATGCAAAATCTCAAACCTTTAGGAGATATATTTAGGAAAAGACTATTGGGCCTTCTTTGTCTGCATCATGGTTACATGCAGCCATTGGGGCTGTCAAATCTCTATGGAATAGCACCTGGCTTCAGGGAGAATCCTACCCAGCTGTTTCCAATCCCACTGTCTTGAGAGCCTAGTGGTATACATCATGTTAGAAGCACTGTGCTGAGAGCCAGTGGTCAATATTTGGTTGTATTCTCCCTTCCTGTGTGCATACAGGTTGGACAGCAGTGCTTTCTGTATTCAGAAGGAGAGATTGAAAGTAATGGGATTTCCTTATACTAGATTTGCAACACAGTTTCAGGAATGTGAATGGAAGGGGTTCCAGCACCACAGTTTCACCTTTTCTCTCCTCCCCTTACTCAGGCTCATGGCTGTCCTATAATTCTAAATTGGGCACAACTGCAAACCCAGTCCCAGCTCTCATTAGCAAAGTGGGACGAGGGCTCTGGCTTCCTGAAGAGCTCATCTTCCTGCTAAGCTGAGGTAGACTGTATCAACCACATCCAGGATTGACGTCGGTCACACCAGACACCCCATTTGTGATCAAGAGCTTGGATTCTGGCATCTGACTACCTCGTATTAGTCCCAGTCCACCATTTATAAGATAGCTATATTCTGTGCTTCAATTTCCTCATTTGAAAAACTAAGACCTTGGGTGCTTATAGCATGTACTAAACGCTTAACAAGTATGCTAGAATCATGCATGGTCAAAGGCCACATTTTAAGTTTCTCTCTCTGACTAGTCTCGCAGCATAAAGAGGAGTTGAAAATATGACTAAAGTGTTTCATGGTAGACATGTTGTCTAATGCCGCATAACAGATTGTTCCAAAATTTAGCAGCTTAAAATCGTAAACATTGATTATCTCATGCAATATCTGTGGGTCATGCATCTGGGAGTGGTTTTGCTGCATGCTTCTGGTCTAGCATCTCTAGAGAGGCTGCGGCCATTGGTCAGGGCTGCAGGAGCTGGAGGATCTGCTGCTAGGATGGCTCACTCATGTGTCTGGAGGGTTGGTGTAGCTGTTGCCGTGTGAACTGTTCATAGCACTACTTCAGCACCCTACACTGGGGCTGGCTTTCCCCAGAGTGAGGGACTCATTTGACCTTGAGAGTCATAGCCGTCACTTCTACAACACTCTCTTGGATACTCAGTCCAACTGTGTGTAAACAATGGATCTATACCTGTGCGTGAAAACCAGGGAAACTTTGAGAGTCTTCTTAGAGTCTCGTTCCATTTTGTGTTGCTGTGGTCTGTTCCGATCGACCTCTTCATTAGATTATCACTCACGTTCTCTCTCTCTCTTTCTCTCTTTCTTTCTCCCTCCCTCTTTCCCTCTCTCTCTTTCCCCATACTTCCCTCCTTCCCTCTGATTCTGTCTGCTATAACACATTTTGATGTGCCAGACTGTGTATGGCCTATTTAATGCCATGGTTGAGATTCATCTTCTCCTGATGATGAACAAGGCTTCCCCAGAGTATGAAGAGAGCATCCGTCTTTACCGGGAGGCAGCCAGGCTCTTCCGGGGAAAGGTGAGTTGGGAATAGGAGGTGGTTTATTCCGTGCATAAGACCTGGACACTAGGAAGAAGAAGGTGGGGCCAGGAAAGACCTCAGTGAAGCAAACAATTATGGTCACGAGATAACAAAGAAAGAATTGGACAGACAAGTTGAATTTTTTGAAATTAAAAATGTGCTTTGTACTACTGAAGGCCTATATAAAACCTTCCCATGGTGGTTGACTATTATTTTTTTCTGCATTGATAGGTAGTAAGAAAATAGAGACATGAAGATACTGAAAATAAAATCACCTATTAGTTATAATTTGTTGACTCCTTGCCATGACATCTTATGGTTTAGAGCAGATGTCAGACCTTATTTCTCATATAAATACCTATCAAGTATCTGGTGCCTATCACATATGCAATGAATATTTATCCCTTCCCCTTCTCTCCTTTGTGAAGTTTTGTTTGCTGTTTCTGAAACAGTAAAACTTCAACCATGTCATGGCTGCTGCATTGAAATATAAACTTTCTACTGGAGGGAATGATCCGATCATAAAATGAGCCACCTTTTTGAGGATTGGTTTTCAGCACTCAAAGTATTCAGTACTATTGCATGGACATCATCCTCTGCCTAGAATATTATAAAGATTTTTACTTGGGGTAGAACTTTTGACTTAATAACATGCAGTAGTCCCCCTTTTTCCATAGATCCTGAAACTATGGTTTCAGTTATTTGCAATCAACAATGGTCTGAAACTATTAAGTAGAAAATTCTAGAAGTAATTCATTACTTATTAAATAACATTTATTATAGTGTGTTGTTATAATTGTTCTTTTTATTATAGTGTAAGTATGTATCCATGGAGAGAAACAAAGAAACACATACATAAGATATATATCATAAATATACATATCTGTCATAAATAATATCAAATGTATATCACACATATATCATTACTATCTATAGTTTCAGATATCCACTGAGGGGTCTTGAAACGTACCTGCAAAATACTTAATATTTATCAAATATTTACTACATGAAATAAACTATACTAAAATTATTAAGTGCATTCCTCATTTAATCTTCCTCAAAAAAGTCTATTTGCTGATGAAAAAACTGAAACTCAGAGAGGCTGAGTAACATGGCCACAGTCACACAGCTCAAAAGTTCCAGAAGCAGAATGTAAAACTTGTACAATACTCTGCTTTTAACCATTAGGCTATACTTCCTCTCTTAGATAATTACTGAATTTAAAGTCTTAAAATTAAATAAATCTGACCAAAGGGACTACAATACCAAAGCTAATGCAAAATAGTAAAATGTTTTATATTAACAAAATTGACATTTAAATTATGGGGCACAGACCCTAAATGTAAGCTGTGGAAACTGCAATGATTACAAGGTATCTCCATCCCCTGGACCTCAGCTAGATCTTTTCCTTTCAAACATCCCCAAATGCAGGTTCTCTTTGTTCTGGTGGACAGCGGGGTAAAGGAAAACGGAAAGGTGATATCGTATTTCAAACTAAAGACATCTCAGCTGCCGGCTTTGGCTATTTACCGCACTCTGGATGACAAGTGGGCGGCTCTGCCCATGGCGGAAGTCACTGTAGAGCAGGTGCAAAACTTTTGTGATGGGTTCCTGAAAGGCAAACTGTTGGTAAGTGTGAGGCCACACGGAAAACAAGTGGCATTTTTGCTCCTCTCTCTGACTCATTTCTCCTCTAACAGTTCTTTGGGCTGTACTGAATAGCACAAGGACACGAGGTCATGGTGGTCGGCTCAAGATGCGCGTAGGCATATGGCTGTGGGAATAGAGCTAGAAAATCACCTCTGGAAAAGTTTTGTGTCTTAGTCGCTTTCTCGTTGCTGAGACACAGTACCTGACATCCACAGCCTAGAGGAGGGGAGGTTTAGCTTGGCTGGCGCTTTTCAGAGCCTTCACACTGTGGCTGGTTCGTTCCAGAACAGAAATGGCGCGGTGAGAGCATACAGGGGAAGAAAGTTACTCAACCCATGGCGGCCAGGAAACAGAAAGAGAAGGGAAGATCTGGGGACAAGATACATCCTTTTGGGTCACAGCCACAGTGTCCAAGCTCTAGCCGCACCCCTAACAACGCATTCAGCCCTGCACTTACCAATAGATTAATCCACTGATGGGAATAGCGCCCCCCCGTGATCCATTCTCCACCCCATGGTGCAAACAGCCCTCCTCGGAATGAAGGAATCTTTCCTGCGTGTTCTAGATCTAAATCTTAGCAACTTGCCTATTCATAGGAACTGGATTCAAGATTTTGCCGTTTTGTTCAAGATAAAATGGGAAGCAAATCAAATCCCATATAAAAGAGTTCATACAATAAAAATTGAAGATGAATTTAGGACTTCCAGGAGAAATCACATGGTTCATTTTTATAAGCTTAGAAACAAATAGATTCCAAATCTCACTATCAGTGCTATGCTGTTTTTCAGGAAGAAAATGAAAAATCAGAAGAAACAATTTCTAAGGAGGAACTCTGACTTCTTCCTGATATTTCCGCATTTTACTGCATATCTGCTTTATGTTGAATAAAAAAGGGAAGATTGAAGCCTCGGAGATACTAAAGAAGAGGATCACCAGGCCAACGTGGGGGGGGGCGCTTTTGGTTTTGTTTTGCAATTTCCTATACTCTCTCACTACCACTTAACTTCCTGTTGTGCATTCAGGCTGTGTAGTCTTCCGGTCTTGGATGTAGACTTTGAAAATACTATGACGCCTCTATGAAGGGGAGGCATTCCTAGAGAGACATCGTTCTGATGTGTCCTTAATTATGAATTTGTGCTGCGCATGTGGTTTATACAAGGTAGCTTGTGCTCATTTGGGGTTATCTCAGGACTGAAACTCTACCGTTCTTCATAAGCACAGGTCCCTCTCTGACTCAGGGTCAAGAACAAAAAGGCGGCTTTAAACATCTTTCTGAAATTGTTTCTCTTGCCAGAAGTGAAATGATGTCTCCAAGTTTCTTAACTCAGCAGAAATAGACCGAGCACGGAAAAACTGTGTGCTTGTTTAGCGTTTCCAGTTCCCCATGTAAATCGACAACTCCTACAGTAAATAGAAGTTCACGATCTTATAGGAGACGCCTGGCATCTCTTTACAGCCCAGACCTTTTGTAAATATGAAGCTGCCCGAGTGAGTCGTGTGCACCTCGCCCTTCAGTACTCACAGCTCAGGGCCGGGCATAAGCTGCTGATGTGTTCTTGTTTCCTCTGTGGGATGGGTGGTGGGTAGGAACCATCCGTGTGGGGATCGGCACAGATGTGGCCAAGGAGCTAGGAAGTCAATTGCGTAAAAAGCATGGATGGGTAAGGGTGGGTAGGTGGCGGTAGCCGGCGCTGGGGCAGCCTGGGACTGACAGAAGTGTGGGTTGTTGCAGGTGAGGTGTGCAATCCAGCTCGTGTGGGATGCAGGAGAGTCTGGCTGAGAATCCCCGGCTCACAGGCCCTTACTGTCCAAACACAGACCCTACCTTGTTCCCGGGAGGCCCTGAAGAAAAGTGCGTAAGTGCCGAAGAGCTAAAACGCCACAGATGTGCACCTCAGGGCCAGTCCAAGTGAGGAACAGAGTGAAAGGCTCAGTTGTTTCTTTCCTTTCGGCGGGGTGGGGGTGGGGGGGTGCACAGCCACAGCCCTGGGCAGGGAGTCAGCTGCTGCCAGTGGAGCTGTCCAAGCTGCAGAGTGTGGCGTGCCAGACAAGGAGCTGAGGGGTCATCTGGTGCATCTGGTGGATCCCAGGGCTGCATAGAGTCATCCAGGCAGCCGAAAAATATTCCCAGGACAGGCGCATCCCAAAGGCTCCCTGGGCTCCTATTAAACCAGAGTCCTTCATACTGAGATTTGGGAATTGCTCCTGATCCCCAGCTGAGGTCCTCCCGCCATGCAAGCTGTTTCTTCTCCCTTCCCTGGAAATTCCCAGCAGCTGCCAGTCACCATCCCCAAAAGGCACCTTCAATAACGTGCTGACTGCTCTTAAGCCCTTAGTCCGGTCTTCTTTACTTCATACTGGTCATGTATTAAATATCTAAATCACTTGACTTGCTTGTTTTCCTCTCCTCACTCTTTCCCAACTTTTCCTCTTTTTTTCTTAAAGTAGGACTCCAAACCTTAGTAGTATCCATGAACTGTGTTGCGTTCAATGCTGGGTTAATTTGGCAATTATTTTACTCGACGTGCCCCTACCCAAGACCCACAGTCAGTGCTGACCGCAGAGACTGTAATATTCCCATAGTGTATTTCGCTGCTTGAAGACATTCAATATAAATATAAACTCATTATATATCCTTTGTATTTTTATTTGTATATTTATAGTATTGAATTGAATTATGCCTTCTCAGCTTGTGGGTCTCCAAAACTACCAGCTATTTTTCTCTGTCTTCCTCACTGCCAATCTGTGTTTTGTTTTGTTTTGTATTTTGTAGCTCTGTGGACTAGTGACCAAATGGAACTTCTTTTGAAAGAAGGGATCTCTAAAGGTTCTTACCGAATCACTGAAGATCAGGCCTACTTTATAAACTTCTGCACTTTCTAGTCCCTGCCTGTCTTTGGATAATCTCTTCCCAAGACTACATTTCCCACCCCAAGGCCATACTATTTTTGAAATATTTCAAGACATCTCCTCTATTTTCCATCATGGTATCGTTCATTGGTTCTCACTGGCAAGGCGGCTCCCCTTTCTCTTTAACATACCAGGGAAATGGTCATGGTATAAAAAATTAAGAAAAACCTGGGAAAAGATATTGGAAGATTTGGAAGATTATGTTAGGAATACAAGCAGAACAGGACTGAAAGCGACAACAGAAAAATTTGTGTTTGAGTCTTACTTATACAAGTACATGGCTCAATGACCTTGAGAAAAGCTCTTTTTTTCTTTGAATTTCAGTTGAAATGCAGTACAATAATTCATAATACTGTTTGAAATAACCAGGTGGTAATACATATTAAATAGCATTTCATTACTACTTTTTTAAAAAAAATTAATATAACATTGCCTTCTCTGTGTAATTGTCATTTATGCAATTGTCAGAACTTAGGGAAAAGGATAGGCCTCTTTCAAGGCCTTTTCAGATGGCTCAGCATGGGGGCCTCACAGCTGGACTGGAGAAGTATTTGAGAGAACTCTTAAAATGTAGCTTTTATTATTACTTGGGTAATGAGACCAACATGTGAGGAAACAATTGCACTGACGAGATCATTTGTCATCTTGCTCTCCAGAGGAGGGAGGAAGCTGGGACACGCAGGCCCAGGAGGAAGCCCCAGGACCAGTCAGGAAGCAGCTGAGTAGTGGGGAAATGCAATGAGGGCAAATGTTTTCACGGTGTTTTCCATGGGAATGAATGGACAAGAGAGAGTAGGAAGTTCAGGACTGGCTGGTTTGAATAATTCTTTAGGCTCTCAGGCACACACTGCCTTTAGTTTCCTGAAATCTGGCCTGAGGTGATTAGGGCAGGGGAAAGGTGGCCCAGAAAGTGAGACCCCTGTAAGAGTCCAGAAGGGAGGAAGTTGGGGTATGACTGGTTTACATATGCAAGATGTGTTAACAGATAGTAAGTTGCTCGCTACCTCTAGGAAGTGGCTGCCCTTGGGAGGGGCAGTCTTTCCAGGGATGGCAAGGACCCAGATGTGAAAGAATCAGAAACACATATTTAATACACTAAAGCCAAAAGCTACTTGCCATAGTTTCCCTCTGCAGACTCTCCTGGCTGGGTCCTGCTGCAGAGTAGTCTGCCTTCTTGCAACCCTTGTTAACACATATACTCTGGGTCTGGAGAGGGTAGGTTAGGCTCTAAGTGGCATACTATGAAAAAGCACTTATTTATACATATATTCATTCATTTGTTTAAATACTTATTAACCGACTATGCGTCCCAGGCAGGATTGCCTCCTGAGAGATCAAACTTGGCATGGGCCATGAGCTGAAAAACAGAGCAGTCATTTGCAGTGGAAAACTGAAGTGATCAGGCTGATTCTGGGTCATGGACTGAAAGCAGCATAACAGAGAAAAGTAGATAGAGAAGAAGAGATAAGCTGTTGAGGAGAGTGCGCAGGAGGTGGGATGTGGGCCAAGGAGGCCCCCGAGTTGGGGCCAGAGAAGCCACAGTGGTTAAGTCCACCACAAAAGGGAAGAGGCTCCCTGCAAACAAATCTTACTTGAGCACTGAATTCAAAACCAGTCCCACTTATTTCACCTTTCTAAAAATATCTTGCTTTCTAAGCTAAGAAAAATAAGACAAAGGCCAGTGATTTAGCTCACTGGTTCCGCTGCCTGCCTTGCAAGCGCAAGGACCTGAGTTTGATCCCCGGTACCAAAAAGAATAAAAACAAAAAACAAAAAAAAACAAAGAATAAGACAGGAAGTAGGATGGATCTGACCATGGGGCTCCTGATGGTGGAACCGTCACCTGGAGAGACATGAAGAATAGAAAAGGAGGAAGTGAGACACCAACATATTTTGAGTTTTGAAACTTTGGAGAAAAAATATACTTTAGAAATCTCAAGAAATAGATTTTAAACTCATATCCATGTGTAACTGAAAGAGGTTCACCTTTCTTCAAATTATTTCTGAGATAGGGTCATTGTTTTCTTCCTGTTGTGGAACCACAGGCCACTGTTTCTGTGGGTTTAAAAAGCTGAGTCATGTTAGAGTGTGGGTGAGTGAAGTTAGGGGCAAGCTACTTCCCCAGGATATAAAAAGGTGTGTGGAATTTAACTTATCTAAATAATCACACTAAGCCTTAATAGCAGGTTCAATTTCCACATTAGGCCCTCTGGTCTTAATATGGTGAAACAGCATTAACCTGGGCTTAAGGAATAAACTCTAGAACGTATCTAACATAATTCAAGCTATGGTAAAGTAAGAGTTTTTTTAAAAATAGCAAACAGGTGTTGTTTCCCAGGAAGAGGATCATGAGGCTAAACTGCCTGGTAGGAAGTTTCTTGGAGAGTACTCCTGGGACCTGTAAGAAAGCAGAGAAGTTGGGCTGTGTCAGCCACAGTCATGGCTCAGATTATCCCATTAGCATATTGGTGCTGAGATATCCAAATTGTGCCAAATCGGAGAGTGGGGCTGGGCTTTTACACTGAGCATTGATCTTACCATGAGGTCAACAAATAGGAAAAATTCATGCTCATGGGCAGCATGCCGGAGATGGGTGGGTGGGACTCAGCTAAGTGCGGTCAACTGTCAACACACTCAGCAGCCCAGGGCAGAGGGCTTCTGCTCTACAGAAATTGGGGGTGACAAGTGAGCTTCCCACGGTATTCACTGCACCTTCCTAGAACATGGTCTTCCTTCAATCACTGCACCAACGTCATGCAAGACAATGAGGAAAGGATGAGATTATTTGAGAAAAAAAGGAGTGGACTCGCTGAGTTGAGGTTGAAGGCAAACAAATATCTCTGTTGTCCTTGCAAAAGGATTTAGAGCAGTTTTCCAAGTGCAATACAAGAAAGTTTCTTCTCACACTCATCTGTCTCTTCAAGCATTTATTGACGACCTACCACGAGGCAAAGATGTATCAGGAAAAAGATCAAATCCCAGAAAACATAATCTTGACTTCACTCTCTTACCTCCCGGGTATCAGATTCCCCAGTGTGGTACAAATACGCAGTTCACTAGAAATTTGAGGAGTGGCTTGAATTTCTCATGTATTTACAAAGTCAGATATTTTGATGATGATAATATATCCTTAATGAAGAGAAGGAAAAGATTTAAACAGAAAATCATGAGTTAGCAAAGATGGACCTTAGATTTAATTCTAAATTTGGGCATAAATAATGTTTATTTACAGCAATTAAATGTCTTGGAGCCTATCATATTTTTGGTTACATGTTTCTTCCGTATATGTCCAGATTTACCAGTGCCTTACCTTCCCATCTCCACTTCTTCTTCCTCACCACCTTGGGCAGATCCTATTTTTGCTTGTAATTACCCATTCTGTGCTGCACCCCTTCCTACTTTCGCACACTC